CCACCCGACGTCCAACTATAGATTATCCACAGAGGCCTGGTGACTAGAAAGTGTTTCAAGTTTCAACTTTTGAATTTGATGTTTATATGCCATGCAAAGTGAAAGAAAATTTCACTTCAAAAGTGAAGACAAGGAATTAACAGTTACTATACTCGAGGTAATGTGAGGAATGAGAATTATATGAGCTAATTATCCATATAAAATTGTGATTTCAAGGAAAAACATCTGGGAAGAGAACTTAATTTTATGTCATGTATCTTTAGCCAGGAAAAAAGTGACAGCATATCACAATTGAAGACCTACCTGCAGTAGGTGGTCAACCAGCAATTATATATCAAAGTGAGAAAATGATGTTAAGTTGTTAACATTTCTGAATTTGACTATCATCTGCAGTTGACTTGGTAGGCGGCCAGAATGTGGCGACTGAAATTTAAACATCGCCAGAAACCTAAACCATGATTGAAATAATTTGCTCGTGGAACAATTAAGGCATGAAATGGCATTTTAGGATGAAAAATTCTAATTTAGTTTTTCCAAGCAAATTAAGATACTCCAAAGAGACCACCCTATCTTGCTCTTCAGTGACACTGAGAAGACAAATGCGTCGATATCAAGTACCCCAATACATGTAATACAGTACTGTAGAATTAGAAGTGTGGTGAATAATAATACTAAGGGCCTGTTCATATGGGCAGAAGTTATCCCGGTTAGCGAGAAAACTTTTTGACAAGTTTACGAGCGAGATCTCGCCTTGTTACGAAAATAATATGAAAAGTTACATTGCGTTCATATGAGACGAAAAGTTTTCCCGTGTACCGAGATCTCGCTTGTTGACAGGCGAGATCTCGGTGACCGGGATAATGTTTTCCCCATATGAACACAACTTTCCCGCTTAGCGGGATAACTTTTTGTCGTGTCAGCAACTTTTCAATTCAATTGATGTTCAGTGCTACGTCACAGCCGGAAACTTTTCCCGGTAAGTGGGATAATATTTCTCCATATGAACAGAACAAAAGTATTTGGCTAGTCGAAAAGTTCTCTCGTTAACCGGGATAACTTTTGCCCATATGAACAGGCCCTAAGTATACAACACACATTTTCATTACTGCATCACATCATGTTGCCCTATTGGGACTGGATTACATTTGGGAGACTGTAAAATTACAGTAATTGTGTCTCTGTTTATAAGGTTACTCCTCAAAATGCTGGATATAGCTTATCTGAGCTTCAAGAAATCCAATATTTTCTGGGGGGGCATATGCCCAGACCCCTCTGGAGGCTCACACCTTTGGTGATCAACTCGCTTGTCTCAGAATCCTAGTTACGGCCTGATCTGCTGCCCTATGACGTACCATATACTTAATAGTTAATTAAATATATATATGCTGGTAGCTGCAGTGATACAGACTAGCCAACTGGAACTTCTCCAGGTCCCCTGCTAAATATGTCCCCTCCAGTTACACATCCTTAAAAGAGGCCCTGGGTAGCTTAGCTAGAGGTCAGCTTAGCTAGAGGTCAGCTTAGCTAGAGGTCAGCTTATCTAGAGGTCAGCTTAGCTAGAGGTCAGCTTAGCTAGAGGTCAGCTTAGCTAGAGGTCAGCTTAAGTAGAGGTCAGCTTAAGTAGAGGTCAGCTTAAGTAGAGGTCAGCTTAGCTAGAGGTCAACTTAGCTAGAGGTCAGCTTAGCTAGAGGTCAGCTTAAGTAGAGGTCAGCTTAAGTAGAGGTCAGCATAAGTAGAGGTCAGCTTAGCTAAAGGTGATTCTAGGGTGGAGGTAAAAGTAGTAATTCATTAAGTTTCTTGTAATGGCATTTGCTAGCAATGTGCGATTTAACTTGTCAATGGTAAAGTAATAAAGTATGTTCCTATAATTATTACAAGCAACATAAATGTTGTACAATAGGCCTTACCATTTATTCACTTTTCACCCAATGGCCTTGTTTTTGTGTCAAATACCTGCTCATGTTTTGTGCTTGGTAGGGTTGAAAATTACTTTGTTATTGAGGCTAAGAATAGCAAGAAACAAATTCGTCCAGGAAAACATGGGGATATAATTTTTATCTGCCCCTGACATGCTAAAACAAGTTCACATGGAAATGAGGCCATTGGGTAAAAGGGAATAAATCGGTAAGGTTTATTATTTTGGAAATTATTTACAAACATTAAATGTATGTTGTTAAAACATTTTTAATCAACATTGTACAGTATTGCTTACTGTATTTGAATCATCACTCACTGAAATAAGATTTTCATAAAAGTCATCCTTAAATGCCAAAATTTCATCCAATGGACGTTTTGTGTACTGTGCAAACAGTCTGTCTGGCATATAGAGAATATTCAATAAATGTGTATCGTCTGTGATTTTATACCCAATCTGACATAGATAATAGTATCTCCACTGAATTCGTTCTAACGAGTACCGCAAAACAAGCGGTGACCTAATTAATGACTGGTTCGTTAAGCCCATGTCTTTTTTAATGAAGTTACTTCGCTCGCGCATTCGTTCGACGTTCGCTGTTAAAACCATCGGATTGTTCGTGAAGGCTTCAATAATTCGTTCCCTTGTGTACCCTAATTCGTCCATGAAGAATCTTACACGTTTTTCGATCGCCTCCCAACGGTAAGTAATTGATCTTGGGTGTTTGGTACAGAATTTATGAATCGTTTTATCTGAAAGACCACAGTCTTTTAAATATTTAATGAGGCCATCAAAAGTATCTTCCAATCTTGTTAAGACGGTCATGGGATTATATCTAAAGAGATGAGAAATAATTACTCTCCACTGGACGAGTGAAATTATCTGGCATTAGACAGAGTAAATTAATAAAGTGCGGTCCAGTTAAAGGGTTAACAAGACACATGGGCAATCTGATTAATGGGTTAATCGTTATTGATGTTGGCTCGTTACCTTAGAACTTTAGCAATTTCCTCTTTGTTAAGGTTACATTTCTCCAAGAGCCGAATACGCTTTTCCATCACGTCGATGGGATGGAACAGCAGTTTAGGATACTGAGGTATAAGATGGGATATCAAGACATTAGGATCTCTACAAAATTGTGTTGTATATCCTGACAAAAAATTAACATTCTTCTCCATTTCTGCCACTTGACAAGTCATAATCGCCCTTGGACATTTTTTAAAAACCAACCCAATATGCTCTTGTGTTAGCTCTATCGATTTAAAGTACTGTTCTCTCTCTGCGATGTCAGATACGGTACACACTTGGGACAAAAGCCTTGCGGATTTTTCTGCCACCTGAAATTTGTCGAGTAAATATCTCTCTGTGTCTTCATTTCGAGGCGATTGCTGTGATTTTCGAGCTCCACGGATTAGAAATATACTTATGCATTTAATACCAAGTACAGAACTTTCCTGGAAGGTATATATTCGATTAAAACAGAACATTTTTTTAACAAAAAATGCCATCTTCGAATTTGTCATTTATATGTCAATTCGAATTTCGAAGTCTCGAAGGAAATTCAGTTGCGCACGCGCATGGCGTTGTAAAGAAATTGTGTTTCCACTAATGCAACATGATCTCCTACTCAAATTTCAAAATAAGATATAGCAGCTATAGTACTAGATTCCAAGTACGATACGTGTGCTATTCTTTTACTTTTTGCGCTTACTAAATGTCAAACTGTCAAAAAGTGATGGAAGTCAAATTCAGTTTGACATTTTGATTTTCAGCGAGATTGGCGAGGCAATAGATGCAGATAGGAAGGGTATAGGAATGTCTCGAACTTGAATAGCCATATGTGATATGGCTAGCTTTAAATATTGTGGTATAAAATGTCATCAAAACAGCTTTCATGCCTGGGATTTCCATATTAGAGTTACTATTTGTATATGTTTTTAATTCCATTTACTTTAAGTTGACTAACCATGATAAATACACTAAAAATGTAGTTCAAAATTTTTGATCTCTCAACCCCGCTGAATTTTGAACCCAATCATTTTTCGTCAATTTTGAAGTCTAGTCATCAACTCAAACACGAAAAATAACTTTAACAAGGAAATTCGGCCTACGCGGGAGCTGTTTTCCGACAGTTCGTACTATTACAGTCAGCCTCGATCAAACAAAAGAATGAGAGTTGGCGGAAAATGGCGGAAATTCACTTCAGTGCTCTAAATTTCCGACAAAACTCGCAAATTTCCGACATACCCCCCCTCCCCCATTTGCACTCGAAATGCGGCGGCCTTCAAAACGTTGAATTTACCTATGCAAAATTCCTACTGTGATCACAGGAACTTTGATGGTGTAATTAGTCTTTATCCATGGCCTAGTCCTGCATCTCTATAAAAGTCTGTATCATTTTCTAATTAAATTTAAACTGACTCTAATTTCTCATTATTTATGAACTTCTAAAAACTTGTCTGTGTCCTGTTACAGTTTTGCGGTACATTGTCATTGTAGCGGTACAGTACACAATCAAAGTTTCTGTGATCACAGTAGGAATTTTAAATGGGTACATTCTAAGTTTTGAAGGATTTGTAAGGACTTTTTGAGGGAATCGATTCATTGTTTAACGCTGAGTCCGTTCCCTCAAACATTTCTTACGAATCTCCTACTGTGATCACATGCAGAAACTTTGATATACCTTACTTGTATTAAAATTCGCGTCGTTCTTTTTGATTTGTTTAATAGAACTATCAACAATTAACGCATTTATTATAAGTATTTTTTATTTCTGTTCCGAAATATCACTTACCTATTTTTTATTTCTGTTCCGAAATATCACTTACTCGAACCGTCCTGACCGCGTAGCTCAGTTGGAAGAGCATTGGGCTAGTATTCCAAAGGTCGTAGGTTCGAATCCCACCGTGGCCGGGCATATTTTTCAAGCTCGCCCGGTGTGGATATACACTCAGAGTAACACCACAAATATCATATTCACCTGAGTACACTACACCAACACAGAAAAAAAAGTACAGAAGTACTTCAATATTTGTTAAAACTTTGTTAAAAATTATGTAATGTAAGCAAAATTCACGATAACAATTAAGAAAGCGTTAGTTAAAAATACCAACATGGTTTGCATTTTCTCATTGCAGTAACATAATGCAAATTAATAGTTAATGTTAATCAGTTAATAACTCAACTGATTTGCATCACTAACAATGAGTGTCTCATATTACACAACAAAGCTTTTCGCGCGGATTATATTTCGCGCAGTACTAAAATTCGCGCACCCAGCGCTGCGCGAATTCTAGTACTGCGCGAATTTTAATACAAGTAAGGTAGTGTAAACCAGGCTTTTGATATATAAGCTGTTTACGTAGAACTTTGGGTCATGTGTTTAGGTTGTTGATCCACAATATGGTTTGTTTACCTGGCCAAGTGCTGTGATCCTCGCCCAGTATGTCTGGTACAACAGAAATGATTTAAAAAACAAGCACGTTATCGAGGTACTATGATAGATATGCTAAATTATAGACATGCGCATTGTGCTTGGTAGAACAGAATGTTATTAAAGGTTTTTGTAGATGAAAATTTTGAGCAAACGAATACAAATATATAAATACTAAAATAAAATTATACATAAATACAGCTTTTGCTTGCAATTTCCATTTACAAAACCCTTGTTCTATCAAGCCAAATACCTGGCTGCCCTTACAAAAAATTGCTATCATAGGAATTCGTATAGAAAGCCAAATTTTCTAGAGGAATTCCTGTAGGAAAAGAAATCTAGTTTATAGGAATTTCTATAGGAAATTACATTTCCTAAAGGAATTCCTATAGGTCGTAATAGTTCGAAATTACTACAGGATCCGCTAAAGGGGATTCCTATACTTTTGTAAGGGATATTTTTCAAGCTTTACATTCAAATCTCAATGATGGAAAAATGAAATTTCGATTACCCAGTACTCACTTTAAATTGTCCATTGGCATTGTTTGAGCCTCTCTCAGCATGTATTTAATGTTGATATAGCTTGGATCAGGAACAGCCTTACCAGGTGTGCTTGCTGCTCTATGTGGTGCCAATGTTACCTTAACAGATGGAGAGCAATACCCTAACTGTTTGGAAAACTGCCGTAAGACTTGTGCAATAAATGGCTTGAAGAACATCTGTACAACAGCTTTAACCTGGGGCTCGTTTTCAAAGATCTTGTTAGAGCTCCCTAAATTTGACCTCATTTTAGGCTCAGACTGCTTCTATGATCCTAAAGGTATGATCATAAGATAATTACATAAATTAATGATTTTCACCAAAATCGCGGGGCCTAAAGTTGCATTTCTTGCAGCTACTCCCGGTCAGGTCTAAAATTTTATATAAACTTTCTTTAGTTTGAAAATTTCATCTAAAGTATGCCACTTATACCACAGGCTATCTATTTCGTGTAATTGGTCGTGGATTAAAGCCAGCAGTTCTAAGGGGGGGAGGGGGGTATACATTTTAGATTTATAAATAGAAATGTTAGAAAAAAATAGGAATGAAATCTTTAAAGTGTGCTGTACGTGGAACGGCAGTGTGCATATTATTTTTGTACTTGTAAACAACAGTTGTGGGGCACAGTTGATTTCCCCATGCATCCAGACTCCTTGCAGTCGGTAAATAACATAGTACAACTGCTTCTATGTATATATTTTTTTTTAGATTTCGACAATATTTTGGCAACTGTAGCATTTCTACTGGATCGTAATCCTACAGGAGAATTTTGGACTTCCTACCAAGAGAGAAGGTAATTCTTCAGTAGTTTTAAATGTTTGGCCTTGTAGGGAAAACCCTGCAAAGATAAAACTGTTGAAAATTGTTTAGTTAGGAAAAAGGTAATTGGTGTCTCCTAAGATACTGTATCAGAACAGCCATACTGTCGTTAAAAGAATACAACAAGCTTTTAAAAACTTGATCCCACTACAATATAACCGTTGTCCGTTCTTATATAAACAAACTTGTTTGTTATTAATTTCTTATATAAGTTGCTGAAGGTCTACATTTTGAAATACGTTCTGCAATAAAGTTGAAATGGGCGTTAATCATTCGAATTTGTGTCAAAATTTCGTTCAGTATTTAACGAGGGGCAAAATTGGACGAGTCATACACTTATAATTAGTACGTACAATGATATGTGCATTGCATGCATGTATATCAAATTGTTATTGACTAGTACTTCAGGGGGGTAGGTTTTAAACCTTACTTACATCCCAGGAAGACTGCAGGGGTCAGGACCGCCGCACCTCCGGCCGCTCGAAAATTTTTCCGCCCTCCTCCAGTATTAACCAGAGGTGGAAAAATATCGGAACCTAGTTCTCAGAAACTTTCGGGGGATTTACATTTCTGCAGAGTTTTTCACAGAATTTTTATGTATGGTAGCTAATTCTGAAAATTAGACTGATTGAATATTTATATTACTAAATTATCTAATTATTAACAATTATTGGATGAGGTTTTTGTGATATGCGGAATTATCAAGGTCGAGGTAAGCGTGATCATGAGCCGAGCCACTCAGCCGAAGGCGAGGCTGATAACGCTTATCGAGACCTTGATAATTTTGCATATCGCAAAAACCGGTCATATCTCGAATACGCAGTGATATCTCGAATACGCATGCGTACTACATGTCGTAGTTTTAAAGCAGCGTAATGAGCCATGAACGGACTATGACTTTAGCCGGTGTGTCCTGCTCACATTAGCAACTGTGGACTGCCGTTTCGCCCTCCGCAACGGGAACGGCAACAGCTGTAGCCAATTATACTGCAGCCCCAAGGAAGTTTCCACCTCTGATTTACACCAAAATCTGGCTGTGGTGTAAGTCGAGGTCCATTAACATAGATAATGATTAATATTATACTTGGAACAACAAGCCTTATATTCGATTTGTAATTTTTTAAGTGCTGATTGGTCAATCGAAATGTTGTTAAGAAAATGGAACCTTGAATGTCGACATATTTCTTTGACATCATTTGGAGGGGACGATGAAAATATTGCAGGAAGTGATCTAGTTAATAATCACTCCATTCAAATGTTGGTAATTACTCGCCTCGGAAACTGAATCCTAATGACTTTGATTGGAAACAGAAATTTGGTGATCTTAGCAGCGAAGGCATAATGCCAATTTGTGCTGGATAACTAAAGAAAGTTGGTAAAACATATTATGACGTTATTTGTTTCCATAGCTAGATTTGAGGGGAGCACCTCCCCAAACATCTTAATTTTTGCACCTCCCCTGAGAATCCATGCACGGAATGATTAAGTGTAATGGTCTACAGTCTACACTTCAAGTGGTCTGCACGAATGATTAAATTTTAAGGTCAGGGGCCGGTTGTATAAAAACGTAGTTAGCGCTAACTGCAGTTAAAAAGTAGTTAAAAAGTGGTTAACTTTAATTACGTAGTTAAGTCGGTTGTATAAAAGTGCAGTTAGCCTTAACTGCAGTTAAAAAGTAGTTAAAGTTAACTATGCTCTAGGGTATAGTTAATTGTCCAAAACGTAGTTAAAAATGGCGTTTGTATAGGAGTGAACAACATTTTTCAGTAAAACAATAATGAAAAGCAACGCTTACCTGAGATTTTCAATCGCTATCTTCCCTGTGAATGTTTCCTGACAATATAAATTCTTCAACTGCTATGCTTTGGTATTTTTACGAAAACAGAACATATTTTTCAATTTTTGCACAGGAGGATTTCTCGAAGACGAAGTATGGTCCATTACACCAAGAAACACTGATAGATAATTGCCAAACAGCTATACCTGGGTTTAACGTATAGTAGACATCTCAAGGAAAAACTGCATTCTTTTATGATTTTTGTGGCGGTTTTTCTTTATTTTTTTGTTTATTTTTCACTGTTTTCTAGTGTTTTGAATAAAATTCCCGCCTATTTGCAAAATACGAGTCCACAATCGTGTTGAAAATGTGTGTCAGCGGTCGTTACTCGCTGCTTACTTTATGAAATTTTCTGTTTAAACGCCCCACGCAAGCCCCACGCACAGTTAACTACGTGATTAGTTAACTATCCGACTAACTACGTTTTGTGCAACGCAGTTAAGGGCCTGTTCATATGATCCCGCTTACCGGGACGTCTCGCTTACCGATGATCTCGCCGCCTATCTATTTTCCTATAAAATTTTGCATTGTGTTCATATGAAAAAGCGAGCTGGCCCGCTTGCCGAGATCTCGTTTGAATTTGCCGAGATCATAGGTAGGCGGGATGAAAATTTTCCATATGAACACGCCAGCCCGCTTACCGGGATGAAGTGAAACAAGTCTTGCCGGTTTAATTTAACACTTTTTACTTGGTTTTATGTTTGTTTTGTAAACAAGTACTAAATAACCACCTGAAGCAATACTTTTTCTTGTAAATAAACGAAGAAAAACACTAAAATCGCCAAGTATTTGTGTTGCTTGACTGAAATGTGGAAGTTTTGCATACGCTAATTATAGAACTACAATGTAATTTCATCTCGGCAAGCGGGACGAAATACTCCATATGAACGCACGGAAATATTCGTCTCGGTAAGCGAGACGTCCCGGTAAGCGGGATCATATGAACAGGCCCTAAATCATGTAGTTAACTAATTACAGTTAAGGATTTAACTACAGTGATTAGAGTGTCCCTATATGTCGTGTGTCGTGGGTTAAAAGTCGTGTGTCGTGGGTAAAGTCGTGGGTAAAGTCGTGGGTAAAGTCGTGGGTCATAAAATGTGCTAAAAACGCATTTTTTCATATTTTTATTTTTAATATTTTTTTCGTACTTTTTCATTTTATGCGCTAGATAAATACAGGAAAATTTAACGCAACAAATCTTCAGTAATAAAACAATTTCTTATCTTGCTGTTATCTATAGTATAACAAGTATAAATGTTTTCGTTTCGTATAGTCTAATAAGTCTATAAATGTATTGTTTGATGATAAAATGCCCTAAGTTATAGGCTTATAGAATATTAGGATATAGGTTTATCAGCTTTGGAAGTGTAATAGTCCCTATCATGAACATCGCGAATAACTATGTCGATTGCATATGTCTGATGCAAACATATTGAACTATAACTACTCTCACGTGGCCAACGCTCGAGCCTCAAATTTTGCTATTTTATCTCCTAGACCTAGTATACGTTCGTGGCCCTTTAAAAGTAGACAAACATTTCATGTGTATGTGGCGTTCGGAAATATTCCATAAATTGCTACGATTTGGGATTTCGCGATTGAAAGCGAAATGATTTGTGCGATGTCGCCATGTCGGGCTATTTGCCAACCGTGCGCGCTAGCCGCTGTTATTTTGACAGAATATGATACCTCTACACTTTTCAGCCGTAATCAATAATGCGCGGATTGTAATCATGTACATATCGTTTAATTTAGCTTCAAAAACTTATTTTGTTAAATGTAAAATGCGCAGCATGTTGCGTACATTAATATCAAAGAAAAAAGGTTGACTTTATTAGACTGAAATAAGCAAGATTTCCCGTTACATACATGATTTATACCGAGGCGGCTTTGCATGTGGTCTGCCTCTGGCAACTATGACACCATTGCGCTCCGCGGGAACCAACACGAATAACATGTTTTTTTATCAAATTTTTGAAGCTAAATTAAACGATATCATATGATTACAATGCGCGCTGAAAATTACGGTTGAAAAGTGTAGAGGTATCATATTCTGTCGAAATAACAGCGGCTAGCGCGCTCGGTTGGCAATTAGCCCGACATCGCACAAATCATTTCGGTTTTCAATCGGGAAATCCCAAATCGTAGCAATTTATGGAATATTTCCGAACGCCACATACACATCACACATGAAATGTTTGTCGACCTTTAAGGGCCACGAACATATACTAGGTCTGGGAGATAAAACAGCAAAATTTGAGGCTCGAGCGTTGGCCACTAATTATACAGGCACTGCAGCGTAAAATTTATAGCTCAATAGACAATATGTTTGTATCAGACATATGCAATCGACATAGTTATTCGCGACGTTCATGATAGGGACTATAACACTTTCAAAGCTAACTGATAAACCTATATCCTATAACTAATTAAGACATTTTATCATCAACTTATATTCTATAGGCTTATTAGACTATACGAAACGGGAACAAAATCAAACATTTACTTGTTATACTATAGATAACAGCAAGATAAGAAATTATTTTATTACTGGAGATTTGTTGCGTTAAATTTTCCTGTATTTATCTAATGCATAAATGGAAAAAGTACGAAAAAAATATTAAAAATAAAAATAATATCTTCGTGAAAAAATGCGTTTTTAGCACATTTTATGACCCACGACTTTACCCACGACTTTACCCACGACACACGACTTTTAACCCACGACACGCGACACACGACATATAGGGACACTCCAGTGATTAACGCTAAATACAGTTAGCGCTAATTACGTTTTCATACAACCGGCCCCTGCACTTCAAATGTCATAAAGAAATTCTGTAAATGTAAAATTGAATAAATGATCATCATTCATCTTTTGAACAAAACGTTACTAATTATATGCTGGTTGAACTTGAAAGGTTTCGATTTTGTTTTAAGTGTTGTAATTAGGTTGCTTATTCAACAAAATTTTATTTACTTATGACAACCCCTAATCCAATAGAGGTTTTTTGTTG